AGCAATGCCGATTACGTAGTCCCCTCAATCGAACACGTGGCAGCAGCCACGTCAGCCAAATGATATACGTGGCAGCAGCCACATCAGCAAAGGCGCATGGCAGCTGCCACGTCAGCATGCCAAGAAGACAGGAGCAAGCCGGCCACCATGCCGGACTAGCAGCGCCTCGCCAAGTTACAATGCCAGCAGCGTCGAGCCAGCGTCGCAGCGTTGAGCCAGCGTTGAAGTCAACGCGTGAAGTCAGCATCAACACAAGACAGAATGAATGTCAAAGCCAGGAAGTCAACTCTTATGTAGTGTTGACGCGGGGTCTGGGCCCCGGATGCTGTATTCCTCGGCCATCCAGATCTCAATGCGAATGAAGGCTCAAATTGGCCTGAAACCGATTTCCTCCGGCCTGGATGCTGTCTGGGTACCTGCGCACAGCAAGTGAGTGTATCCAACCAAGGGCCTGGGTGCGGTACCTTTGACTCTACAGTTGACTTTGACTCTTGAATTTCCTGTGTGCAGTGTTCAGTCACACAGCCACACTCGACAGGCTAAAGCCTGGGCTTGTCTTGGTCACACAGCCCAGCGCAGACCTGAGAAGGTCTGCGTGGCCTGGGGCTGAGTTCTGGGCCCCAGGCTACTTCTGAACAGGGTTATTACATATTTGTGTCAAGACAAGGATGGCTAGGAATGACGACCGCTGTGAAGAAGAAGGTAGTGGAGTAGTAGGGAATGCCAGTGGTTCTCTCCCACACAAAGCAACCCCCCCCCCCCCTCTCTTCCCCTTTTTGCACCGAACATTGCCTCAGTTTCCGGGGGTTCACACTTCATCACAACCCGCAATGCCATACAAATACTCACACGGGTCAGAATAGTTCTAAATACTAGGATTCAGTGACACATAGGAAAGGGGATGTAGACCCTGACACATCAGAATAGTTCTAAAATTCTAAATACTAAATAGTTGTTTTAGGCAGCCTGCAGAATCAGGCTAGAGAGAGGAACAGTTTCACACGATGTTTCTAAGCCTGTCTCGTTGGGAGGGCTAGGGATAAGGGCGCTGTCCGAGCTTGTGGGCATGTTGTTTCTGGAGTAATAAATGCTGATGGAGGTCCCTCTGGGCATAACGAGATGGGGTGCTCTAATGTAGAATCTAGCTTGCTGTAGTGGTAAAGAGACTTGGCTCTTGTCGTCAAGGGTGCCAGTTCGACATCCGTGCGTGCTCAGATGGGGCTGATGTGAGAAAGTGCAATCAGACTCGTTCTCAAACACACTTTTCATGCATGTAAACAGCAACGCAGTATACTGGCGACATGCGGCCACTCAAAACTCAGAGATATGGCTTTCAGATACGAGTTCACTCTCAATTGGCTATGGCGACTTCAGCGCCCAAACATCTCACTGTTCACATACACTGGATCACCCTGGATATCCCACACGCATCACTCTAACACTCGAGCACACACACACAC